AAAAATAGTACGAGGAACTCAGATGACAGATTGAGAAGCGGATGAACTGCAATTAAGAGGACAATTTCATGTCCAAAGAGGATGCTCCAAACACCAGCCAGAGAACAGAGACCCTCTGGACTAGCAGTGAGTTGAACACAACATAAACCATTCTTCTGATGGGAAGACAAATTGAGGCAAATTATCAATTACATTTTTGTAATGTAGTTAGAGATAGTTACCTCTATCCATAATTTCATAAGTGTATTTCCAAATTAAAGGAAGGAAGAGTGAACCAAATCCAGGAAAAAAGAATTAGCTCAATTTGGAAACTGCAGGTCACTCATTTCTTGAGCTTATTGAATGAGTGATCAAGGAAAATGACACCACCACTAAAATAAAGCAGTAGACTAATCACAAAAGCCAGTCATGAAAAAAAAAGCTACAGTGCGGTTTTTCTGGACATCAGAGAAAAGGGTTGGTATGGAAAGGCTAAAATTCAGAAAAGTCTGGGGCTTGTATTTTTAAGCTTGTCATACCTAATGATCACAAGCTAACCCAAGTTTAATTGCAGTGAAGACAGGTAAATTGTCAAGGTGTGACCTGTGTACCCACTACAGTTGACCCAAAGTATTCACACAAGCTGTGCTGGGTCAGGGCAGAGGTCCCTCCAGCCCAGCTCTTGGGTCCCGGCAGAAGGAACCATAGACACCAGGCAAGTAGTGCATTTCCATTAAGGCACAGCTGGAATGCTTTTGTCTTCTCTGGTTTTGGACCTGGGGATGCTCTGTATGCAGTAACTACAGCACTGGGGAGAAAATCCATTTCCTGTTGAGAAGGTATGCTTAAAGGGTTAATATATTTGCAGATAATAGGCTTAGGAGAGTTGGAGGCTAGACTGACTGCTGACAAACACAGATGAGTAGACTAATGGTGTTTTGATTTGGGTTTTTTCCCCCCAAGTTGCAAATGCAGAATTGCTCACAAAACTCAGCATAAGATCCGGGCCTCAGACCCTGAATCCCGCTGAGCAGTGATTAATTTCTGCATTAGACTCAAACTCACAGAACACACACTTGATAACTATGATACATTTGCATAGTAAATCACATTGACACGAGTGAACTAAACCCTACTGAACTGGTAAGTTCAACAGCCAGGTTTCAGCCAGGGAAAGTGAAAATCATTGCTGTGACAAGGCAAGAGCCCACAGTTTGCTCTCTAGAAAAGCTACAAACTGACCTGTTCTATTCTATACCATTTTTATTGTCCTATACCTTGCACTGCTGGCATTATCAAGTCTGGGACAAACTTAAATCTACTTCTAAGGCAAAATTTGCATCCTCACATCTGTCTTTCTACATTTTGTAAAAGTTCCTCAAAAGGACCCAGCAAGGAAGTGAGGTCTGAGTCTTAAAACTTCCCACTTCTGTCCTGGTTCAAGGGAAGGAAGGAAAAGCACTGTCCTGCAAAAGGAAAAGAGCAAGAAACAAAGAGAAGTCAGAAGACTTGAAAGAAATAAGAGGAACACGCTTACCCCTGCATCTCATAAAGCAAGAACAATGCCTAGATATCACAGTGATTGGCATTCAATATATAAGGCAATAGCTTAATTAGCCATAAATATGGTCAGCTAGCAAATGTTAAAAGGTCACCTGATACTAATTGTGAACAAGACAAACCGAGCTGCTTAAAAAAAACCTGCCATGAATAATTTCTCAGGGCTTAGCAATTCTGCATGCTTCTGTAATTTGCTCTTCTCTATTATGGTTGAAAAACATTCTGCTAATTATTAATTGGATAATGATTTGTTTCTATCACTAATTCAATAATGTGTTCAGAAGTGCATTTTGAAAGCTCCCAGCTCTAGAGACCATAAATATCAGGCTTATTGTGGTGGGTTGACCCTGGCAGGATGCCAGGTGCCCACCAAAGTCACTCTATCACTCCCCTCCTCAGCTGGACAGGAGAGAGAAAATACAACAAAAGGCTCACGGGTCAAGATAATGACAGGGAGAGATCACTCAGCAATTACCATCACAGGCAAAACAGACTCTACTTGGGGAAACTAGTTTAATTTGTTACCAATCAAATCAGAGTAGGATAATGAGAAATAAAACCAAATCCTAAAACACCTTCCCCCCACCCCCCACCCCTTCTTTCTTCTCAGGCACAGCTTCATTCCCGATTTTCTCTACCTCCTTCCCACCAGTGGCACAGGGGGACAGGGATGGAGGTTACAGTCAGTTCATCACACGTTGTCTCTGCCGCTCCTTCCTCCTCAGGGGCAGGACGCCTCACACTCTTGCTCTGCTCCAGCATTGGGTCCCTCCCACGGGAGACAGTCCTCCACGAACATCTCCAACGTGAGTCCTTCCCGCGGGCTGCAGTCCTTCAGGCACAGACTGCTCCCACGTGAGTCTCTTCCATGGGTTCACAAGTCCTGCCAGCAAACCTGCTCCAGCCTGGGCTCCTCTCTCCATGGGGCCACAGGTCCTGCCAGGAGCCTGCTCCAGCGTGGGCTTCCCACAGGGTCACAGCCTCCTTCGGGCATCCCCCTGCTCTGGCGTGGGGTCCTCCCCAGGCTGCAGGTGGAGATCTGCTCCCCCGTGGACCTCCCTGGGCTGCAGGGGGACAGCCTGCCTCACCATGGTCTTCCCTGCAGGCTGCAGGGGAATCTCTGCTCCGGCGCCTGGAGCACCTCCTCCCCTCCTTCTGCACTGACCTGGGGGTCTGCAGGGCTGGTTCTCTCACTCCTCTCTCCTGGCTGCTGTTGTGCAGGTTTTTTTCCCCAATTCTTAAATCTGTAATCCCAGAGGTGCTACCACCATCGCTAATAGGCTCAGCCTTGGCCAGTGGCGCCACCGACTTGGAGCCGGCTGGCACTGGCTCTGTTTGAGCCGTGGGGAAAGCTTCTAGTGACTTCTCACAGAAGCCACCCCTGTAGGTCGTCCCCCCCCCAAACCTTGCATGCAAATCCAATACACTTATCTCCACTTGAATGCTCTGGTTGAAACGCAGGTTCTAAGTGATGTAAGTGGAACCTGTGGAGCTTTCTGCCCACTTTTGGGCACTCTGCACCCAAAGTCACCGAAATATCCATGTTAGCTGGAGACCGAGGCAACACTACTTTCCCACTCACCTTGCAGGGAACAGAAGGTGTTCTACACTGGGTAGCAATTCGGAGCTTATACATCCTAGGTATTAAACAGGGGTCTGGCTGGAGATTAATAGTTCACCCTTTGGGGAACTTATATGGGGCATCCAGAAGGTGGGAACGTTTCACCCCTCCTTTACATCCCGCTTCCAAACCTAAAGGTCTTCAGAGCACTCTGTAAACAGAGCGCAGGAGGAAGGGCATACGACGGGGCTCTGCTGTACGGTACTGACCACCCCTCTGGCCTCTGATACGGGTCCTGTGCCAGGGCCATGCTGCAATCATATCTGCTCAGATAAAAAGCTGAAGACAAGAAAGGTAACAATAATACCCTTGAGCTACCACTCCCTACTACCTCCCTAAGAGAAGCCAGACCATTAAAAATGCCACATAAATATCACTGACAGGAAACAGGCTTCAAGGTTATTCAGAAAAGCCCCACGCATAGACAACCTCCTCTTTTTAATAGTGATAAAAACCTTGAGTTTTTCAAAAGAGCAAGTCATGGCACAGGCAAACCCACCTTTCAAAACCCAACAGCTCCCTTTTTACAGAAGAAAAGGTAATGTTGTGGGGGAAACGTATAGCATTCCTCCTTCATGGGCCACAGAGGCATAATCAATTGGTACAACAGCACATTGTTGAAACACAAACCACGGAAAGCTGCTTTATGAATCCGTGCAGCCAGCTGGAACAGCCATCAACAGCTGTGAGAGGAATGCACTCCAGGACTGAATCACTTCATTAGGGTGGGGTTTTTTTCCTTTTATTACATGCAGCTCAGGCTGCTGATCCTTACCCTGAAGACCCTCCGTAGAGCAGCCCCACTTCTTTCTCTTCTCCCTTATATACTCAGGAACACTAATGGTTCCCACTGTATTACTTACTCTCCTCCTGAGACATCATTTCTTCCTCTCCCATCATATAGCTCACCAGCAGTCTTCCAACCTGCTACATCACACTGTGTGGTGTCCTAAGCTTTTTGACTGTAAGTCAGAAAGCATTAGTGGTTTGGGGGCAGCATGGGTAAGGAATTTGCCCCTAAGATAAGGGCTTTAATCTGCAAATTGATTTAGCGTAATGATTGCAATGAACTGCAAATCATGGAAACTGGGAGAAAATATCCAGATCGAATGACATTTCCTGCTTGCTCTACTTCTAATTCTGCCCTACTTCTGTGTGATACGGGCTACTTGATTATATGTGAAATATAAGTGGACAGAACTACAGCCCAGAGCCCCAGCAAGCAGTGACACTGGAATGAATATACGTGTATCAATTTGAGCTTGAGACTGGCACAAAATTGCAAGGATGAGACCACTGGCTGCTGAAGTCATGTGTACTTGGCATGAGCAACAGCAGGTGACATCACAGGGTGTTTGTAATGAAATACGATTATCTCAAGAAAATTCCTGATTCCTTCAATGAAAACAACCATACAAACCTCCAAATATAGTGAAAAGGAATAATAATTTCTAAACAAGTAAAAGCTGAAGTAGGATATACCTTCAAACAAAATGCTGATTGAAATATGCCTTCTCCTAAGCTTATACTTCTATGGGATTTTCAGAAAAATAGAAGAAATGTCTCTGGTATTCTGACAGCATAGCCAACTTCAGCCCTCTTCTTCATTTCCATTGTAGAAAAGCCAACAGACCCTTATACTGAGGAAAACCTCAGTATTAAGAGTAAAAAGAAGATATTCGAAGAACAGTGTTCAACACTCACAGCAACCTTGTGAAAGCTGTTCCAGCAAGTACACAGGTACACACCTACGACAGGCTCCAAAATGAACCACTGAGTGGATAACTGTGCTCAGCATCAGGGCTATTTACACGCGTTGTGCGCTTTTTTTAAATCTTACCCGAACTGCTACAGCGAGATGGTTCCACGAGTCTGCCGGTCTTATCGTAACAGGCAATAGCTCGCAGTCGTACACCCTCGCCACACTCCTTGGTGTCTCTGTGGGATCTCATTCCCAAATGCAGCTCAGATGTACCTCCTCCAATAATGCAGTCAGACCAGTTTCCGTGGGGCTGGGAGGTAAACACCTCGCAGGGGCACAGCTCTGTTTCAACTTGAGGATAAACTTCTGTATTCTGGCATTTGTCTCGCTTTCTGCTTCGCCCTGTTCCAACCACAGAAATCTGTTTGTTAGCTTAACATCTGCTACTTTTGATAACAACACGTCATATTATTTATACTTGCATGAATTCAACACATTAGAACCTAGACAATCTGAATGTTAATATCCAGAAACATTTCCGAAGCATCTATTAGCTGCTGCCAGTGCTCTGGAGTGCAAGGACAACGTATTTATCTCCAGGGGCAACCAGAGAACTTGGAAATACTGTTTTGATGGGTAGGGCAAGGAGCAAAATGCAAAGTCTTACTCTACTAGCGGTCTGCCCAGAAAATGCTTTGTAATTTTATATAATATCAATTTTCTCTAATTATCTGATGAAAATAAATTGATTGTTTTGTCTCTATTTGCTCGCAATCAATGGTTGCTAGGACAACTTCCAGAGGACTCTACATTAGCCACAACTTCTTCTTTGAGGCTACTTTACAAATTAGTTAAAGATGCACTCTGCACACAAACCACACTTCGAAGAAAACAGAAAAGATAATCCTCGGTAAATTATTAGGGCTGGAAAGCATTTCAATGATTGGATTTGGTTTAATGTTTTCTTTTGCTTTCTTCTTTCAACAGGTTTTAAAAGAAGGCTCTTTACAGACCTTTCAGTAGCTTCACAAAGCAGAAGCATTCAAATAAACCTGTGGCACAGCCCTCTGCAGCTGCACTCTCCATGCCCTGTTCCTGGAGGACTTCTAGGCATACGAAGACGTCCCCAGTACAAGGAGAGATAATATAAAGAACAGAATTCATGCTCCCTGCATCCCTACAGCTGCCCCAGGGGACAAAGGCCTGTATAGAGCCTCTAAAGATAAAATCAATGCTTTTCTTGGCATGGGTTAGCCAACGTGACATGGAGCAATCTTTATGCTGGCTGAGCTCAGGAGCGTCTGCATTTGGCATCTGCACAGAAGAGGAGAATTCCTCTTCACTAACAAACCGCATCTATATCCCATCTTCAAAACGTGCCTTGGGGATCTTGGATGCGCTAAAAATACTTCTGCAAGAAGTTTTTAATGCTTTGATCCCAAAAGAAACGTTTTCTCTTTGGTATTGCGCACAAATAAGATACTAAAAACAAAAAATAAGTTATATAACCCAACAACCCTCTTTCTAGTCTGGAACCAATAGTCATTTCACCACACGTCACCAGGAGCATAAGCTGGCTGCCACCAATACCTGTTTGCATACACGCATGTACCTCCAAAGAGAAGGGCACCAATTGCAGACCCTTAGTATCACTATCCTTCAAGCCTCAGCTCTTTCAAAACTGTATTTTCAGAGTTCTGAGGAACGTAAAGTTTGCCAGCACAAAGGGATAATAAACACAAAGAAATCAAATAGTGCCAACGTCTTTATATTTTTATATATATATTTACGAGCATATTCAGGTAAGGTATAAGAGGTACAACTCCATATACTTAAAGGAAAGTCTTTTAAAAGGCTTTAAATAGATTGGGAGCTCTCTAGTGGCATTTCCAGCATTTTATGTTTGACGAGCTGACAGAAGCCACAAACTCAGTGTATAAGTACAGCTGTATGTTCTGCGTTATTAGTAAACGTGGGAATTTGGGACTCGCCCATGTTTTGCCATTATTACATGAAGCGCATCAGACACAGGTAAAGATGCTAATAATCTCACACTTATGCAACACTTTTTTTCCAACTTGCCCTGCCATCTGTTTTGCACGAATCTTCTCCCTAATGAAGTTGCTATGAAAGCCCTATTTTGAGGGCAAAAGTGGCATTTATCCCATACTCTTCACAAACAAGTAGTTTTAGAATTAGTGATGGTGATATTTCTATGATCTTCACAGACTGCTTTAAAAATTACTGTTAAAAATACTATCTCCATAATTTTCAAGGACATAAATTCTTCAATTAAATAGCATTTTCTTTTTAAAATTAAATTTCTGAACACTAACAAATACAATATATATTAAATATTATCAGGAAGTACATACTGTACATAAAAATTATAGGAAACATTAAAATACACCTTCCTACAGAAAATGCATTGTATCCATAGCACAGTGAATTAACTGACTGTATTAATTAACTGAAGAGTTACTAAAAACTGTGTTTTCATTATAATGACTTTGAATTTTGATATGTTCTGTAATAAGTCTTTTGCTTCCTAAGTAATGACTAATTTTATATGTAGAGTCTATGATTACTTACTAAGTAAAATGAATAATACTATTAAAAACTGAGTGGGAGGCAAGCAAATACTTAGCAAACAATTAGCAGATCCCCACTAAATGACATTGTTAATGATCTCTTATAATGAAGCTGAAGCATTCACTTGAGCATAGACACACACACTGATGAACAAGGAGGTACAATCCATGCGTGCTTACCGAAAGGTGAAATACAAACGGATAAAGGACTCTTTTAACACCATAAAGTACTTCCCAAAATAGCACTTTCCTTAAATCTTTGGACTGAGTTCACACGGATGAGATTTTTTCAAGACTTTTGGCCAGCTCCAATTTTCATGAAGTTCTATGCAAATACAGGTCAGTTCTAATCTCGTCGACCTCCCCTTTTGAAATGTGGTCAAACCAAACCCGATGCCTGATTAGGTCCTCCCTCGCTGCTCTCTGTGCTGTTGTGCCGTCCCCACCCCAGCACCACCTGGGCCACCCGCTGCATGTTCACCACTTGCTTTTCAGAACACCTTTGCTGGGAGTGGGCTGAGATCACGAGCTCCTTCCCAGCGGGAGGAAGGGAACCCAGCAAGGTTGTATGGGAGAGACTGGTGGTGTTTGGTCACAAATGCAGTGCGGGTGAGGAGACAAGCCATCCAAACCTGAATATCAGAAACCACTTTTGGTCCACTTACTTGAACAGATCTATGTCTGATGTAGAACAGAGTAAGAAATGGGATAGATAAGACCACACTGTTGTGTAACTTGCATACATGTTCATAAAGAAAATTCAGATTTAAAACTATCTGGAAGTGAGTATTCACTTATTTCTTACAGTATCGTATTTTCTATAAGATCAGGCACCTATTGTTCCAATTGGGATAGAGGATTTCTACTATTATGAACATACAGGCATTGATACAGAGAACATTTTAGACTACGCTCTTTGACAGAAACAATAGAGTATTTTATAATAATGATTTTTATGTAAAGGAGAAATCTTTATCCTTTAATGAGCTATACTCATGAATGGCAGCTTGAAGCGATTATGTCTGTATACTGTAATTGTTAGTTACTAAAACCTTGGATCATTCCAACAGTAACAAACTGAATAACAAGATAGCCGTGCAGCCAGGTACCAATGAGCACAGAAGAAAGGAGCAGTGGTAGCCACCATACTTTGCTGCCATCCAGTTCCCAGGCATTATCACAGTGGATATTTTTACAGCAATGTTAGTATTTTACTCCATAGTAGAAGTCTTTGAAGTTTTACCTCTATTAACAGACCAAACTCAAGCCAGCTGCACCACAGCTCTCAAACACAACACAGAAATATGGAAAGATGCGAGTGTTCGGGATAACAATAACAGTAAATTTCTTGTAAACCTTCTGAAAACAGTAGAATTCATTTTTATTTGATTCGGCTATGTGTCTGGCGGGGGGGAGTAAGACAAATCCTGACAAAACAAGTGGCTCCAAACTATTAATGTTACACAGTTTTAAAGTTTGATCAGCATTCAAATAATATAACAAACCATAACAGCAAGTGTGGGAGACTGCTCTATGAAATGGTTTGAACTAGAGTGTTTAATGAATACATATAAAAGATCAAACAAAACTGTTTTAATGATACTGTTTTTTCTTTATTCATGATACTAGTTTGCTCTGGTGAACTACTGGATACTGCTGAGCACAAAATTCCCAGCTTTAAACTTCATCCAGATTTCAACAGTCTTAAACAGAAAAACACAGTGATTTTTATGCTTGTATACACATTTGCTGCATGCTTCCCAGCTTAATAGGTCAGATAAACTTGCACAATGCATAGTCACTGTTTTATTTGGTTTCTGCCTAAAAATGGCCTTCCCCCACTGAGTTTTTCTGCACTATTCTCATACCAAAATGCGTGTGTGTAAAGCAGGCAATGATGAGTCTCAGATCAAAAATCAATTAAGGATGATAACTATTCTGTCTGGATTTTCCCAAAACCCCAACACCAGCCCACCAACATCTGAGAAACATTATTCACGAGTATCACCATCAGATAAATACTATAAAAGATTATACCTGTGAGTGACCGTCTCCTACTTCTAGTTGATTCACAGTCAAACGAGCATGCTGTAAATTTAGACCAGGGGGTAAATGTGCAGTCATCTTTGCAGGGAACGACACACTCCTGAACAAGAGGTGGCATAGCTCCTGCCCACCGCAGGCAGTCACTGACATCGGCAGAGTCGTCGTGCTCTGACAGGCACGTAACAGCTGAAAAGTAAAGGTACAGAAATCTTTATAGTCTTATACATATTGTATTATACTCTATGCAGGCAGTACTTGTGTTCTATGCAAGATTCACTGCTCTGGGTTAACAGGATAAAGCTGATTTATTTTTAGGTCATTATTCATGCGTCACTCAAAGATGTGCTAGAAGCTTCACAAAACCATAAAGACACATTCTTATTTGAGCAGTATGTTATCTAAATGATGATATAAATTCAACATTCTCAAGGAGGCCATCATTTTAAGGATTGGGGCAACAGTTTAACCAATGATACATTCTACGACCAAACAAGAAAAGATGCAATACTGTGGCTATGTGCCATAAAGCATATTTGGTCGAGGCCAGGATCCCCACGCTGTGATGCACACACTATACATAGAATTGAAACTGCTTCAAAGTGGAAAAAAAACCATTAAAAATATAAAAAAAGCTTCCTTCTCCAAAACTTCCATCTTTTCCACATTTCAGATGAAGGGAACAACTGTCTGAGCAGCTTTCCCATACAGAATAGTGACCTCTGCTCCGTCTGAGCCGCAGATGCTACAGCTAAATGCTTCTTGCAGCAAGGTGTAAACACCAGGTCTGCCCTGTCCAAACTGAGTTCTCTAAATATTGTGCTACCCCTTGGGCTCTCCTGCTCTCTGGCCATCTGAACCTTTGAATCTCTTGCATAAATGGAGATGTTTAGGAGGAAGGGCACGAGAGTTCAGCCCGTGGCCATGATAGGGGCTGCAGCCACTGCACTTTACTAGATAACCTGCTTTTATGGTGCACGATAGCTCGCTGTAAGAGCACTAGTGAATGGATCCATTAACAGAAAAAAACACAAAACCCAACTGCTCCGTAGGTCTTAGCTGAGGACGGCATCACTCTGCCGAGCTCCATCCGACCTGAAGTGCCTTCGCACACGGGCAGAGGCAGAGCACACACCGAGCTTTACCTTCACACACAGCACTATCAAGGCTGCAGCCCACATTCAAATGCGATGCATTTCTCTGGTCCCCTGCCCAAAGCTCTGCCAGGTCTTTAAGACTGGGCCATGGCAATAGGAGACAATAGGCACAGGGCCGGGCTGGGGCTGAGGTCTCTGAATTTGGACTTAGATGCCTTTGGGGCCAGGCAAGAGTCAAAAGGGGTTTGCAAGAGCACAGCCCAGGACTTAGATGAACTGATTTCCCCCCAGTTTTATTACAGGTCAATGCCCTTTTCCTTCAACGCCCTCGTCCTTTTTTGGACTATAATGATTAATTTTTCAGGGTGGATAATGGCACTGTATAGCCATGATGGAGGACAAAAGTATTACTGTATAAATCTGAGTACAAGAAGCCTATAATAAAACTTGCTAAAGTTTCAATGAATTAATAATAAGTAATTATAATAAATAAAAATAGCCTGCACATCACGGAGTCTTTCATTTCATTAATAATAATTAATTCTCACAAAACGTCCAAGATTATAGGCTTTTTATATCCTACACTGTAAGTTAACCAAAGCAAAGATAGGTCGTGACTTGATTAAAATAATAAAGTCAGGGGCAGAGTTAGGAATTGAATTTGGCCCCAAGAGTTTAGTCATGTCAGGCTCTCTGATTTCAGGCAAGTCCACACATTGTGTCATAAACCTACAGAAGATGAAATAATTTAATTCAGATTTTATTATTTTACTTTAACAACCTGTGATATTATTTTATGAAGATTCCTAAATAATTCAGGTTTTTGAGGCTGCATATATTTTTCCTTGTTGCCAGCACTTAATGTAACTAGGATTGCATGAAGAAAAGCAGAAAAATAACTCTCTGTTTTCTTACAGTTAAAGGATTTACCGGGGTGTAACTTTGCAATGAATACACATGATTTTTGGTTTTTAACTACAGTACTCTATGGGAGCAAGGCATGGGTTGGCAACCACCTGGAAATAAAAAAAAGTCTTATTAAAATGTAATTAGATTTCTAAGGAAAAAATCAGCATTTTGAAGAGCGTGCAGAAGGCAAGCAATTGTTAAAAGTCTCTTTAGACTCAAGTGACAGTAAATCAGCATATTAATAACTACCTCTAAATTGCTGATCCTTGCCTTTCACTTTCAATCCTTGTGACCCTTCCTATCTCTCAACTCTGGCAGTCAGAAACTCAGCGACATTCCCCTTCTCAATTACAAGAGCGCGAGGACACAGGTCACCACTCTGTACGGGAAAGCGGGGTAATTGCCCTCTTCAGGAAGGTTAAACAAGTAATAGACTCTGATGCCCAAGGTCCATGTAGCCTCATTACCTTTAGCAAGGACACCAAAGATTTGGCAACGCAAATGTGTCCACGTGAAGTGTGGCCAAGTGTATGCAAACCATCTTCTCAGCATCGCTACAACTGCTAGCATCTGCAGGGAAGTGAACAATATCCTACGCTGCCAGCCCCATGAAGCACTATTTGCAACTGCATAATAAACCATCACGTTGCAATGTTTACTACTGTCTGACAGAAGACCACAATTCATTCCTGACATTTAATAATGGCAGCACAAGTGACGGAACTTCTAAATGTCGATGTTAAACCAGAGGCTCCGTGCTGCAATGAGTTATTATCTAATGGCCCGATCTTCTGCACAAATGTCCTTAATTTTAAACATACAAATAATTCACTTGTTCGCTGAGCCTATTTAGATGCTAGAAGTGATGGATATATAAGGACATATGAGATCAGGGCAAATATTTGACAGACATCATGGAGCTTAAAGAAATCAGTGGCAATAGTAAACATGGGTAGAGCAAAGTTAAATTAAAACAACAAATAATATAGTGGATTATACATGTACAAGCACAGAAACAGGAAGGAGTTGAAAAGAAGAAAATATAATGGATAGTCTAGTAAGAGACATAAGACCTAAAAGGACGAGAGGAGGACGATCTCCTGTGAGGTGATTAGGGACAGGCAGGTGCTTGAAAATACAGAATTGCTTTTCTTCTCTGCTTCAGGAATTTTTCTAAGTGCAGATCCTGGTAGCTCAATCCGGTCATTCCTGACAGAGCAACAAAGCCTCAGTGTCAGCAAGGACAGAAGGCAGCAGCCAAAGAGCAAGGAATCAGAAAAGCTTTTTATGATGCCTAAAATACTTCCTAAAGAGGAAACATCCCGCTTGCTTCCCATTCTCCTGGACTTTTCAACTTATCAATGCCAACGGTGTTATTACCAAACTGGTGGGCCCAGATGAGCACCTCTTTGGTGACACAAATGGTGCTGCATCATTTTGCTGGGAGAGCAGGCACTTCTTGTTTTACACGCACAAAATAAAATGCCAGCCATGAACATCTGGTACCCTTACACACCAAACCCCCTTACCTCCTCGGATTGGCCTAAGCAGTACAGTGCATTTCAGTCATATTAGGAAGCAATTCATTTCCACTCAAGAGTCTGCCCACATCTTCAAAGATGAAGCCAATGCGTGACTTCTTCAGTTTGAACTGAATTATCTCCAAAAGCCTGAGCTTAATGGGCCTGATCTTTACAGCATGTCAGTCATAAGAAATGGCAGGATTTCTGCTACATGCTTACAACTACACTTGAGGTGAGCAGCATGAACTGCTAAAATAAATTTAATAATAAAACAAAAGCCCATCAGGACATTTTAATGGATTGAGAAGGACCAGACAGGAAGCAGCAGAGCTGACGGATCCACTCCAGTGGTTTGTTCAGGAACTAGTCACCTCATTTCTGCCTGCTGCAAACTTATTTTCCAGTTAAGTTAGCTTTAACTTTTAAGAGAAAAATATTTTCAAATACAGGCACTTCTGGAAACAGAATGAGGCAAATTTATTCTCAGTGGACCTTCAGGAAAGTTAGTAAAATTATTTATCCTTGGCGGTTTCAAACTACTGATTGGTTTGGCTCATGTGTGGTTTATGTTGCATAAAAAATATTTCCCTGTAATCCTCAGTTCTGTCACAATGGTTTTAAATAAACTCATACCGCAAAGCCATTTCTGCTATGTCAACATCTCATTGTTTTTTTTTAAGTGGGATACCACCAGAGGGCAAATGCAGTCCATTTGCAGCCCTATGCACTGAGAAAAAAAAAAATCACATAGTAACAATAAATCCCTCCTAGACATAATGTGTGATTTCTGCCGTCTCTGCAGCATTTAAAATGGACACAAACATATGAATAGAAACAGCTAATAACAGGACACTGCCAGATAAAGGGTTTCGAATTATAATATTGATTCCCACAAAGAGGGGAAATGCAGAATTTCCTTTTGAAGTCCTGCTATTCTTTCTTATTACCACCAGTCAACGCCACGAAACTGGAATTAAACACTTGGGGCCAAGCTGCGGGATGAGAATTTAATGCAGTTCTGTTGATATAAACCAACGGCTGACTCAAAAAAAAAAAAAAATTACACCTTCTCTTATAACGATAAAAACAAGATCATGAATTAAACTGAAAGGTAACCAGGTTTAAAATGCTAAAAGAAAAGATCTTTCTTTCAGGGCAGGGCTGGAATTGTTTAACAGACAGAGTGGATACACCTGTTAAGGTGCCAACAAAAGTTAGTGCTTAAAATGAGCAATGAAAATAGCTGCAGATGCAACCGTTTTACTTCAAGGCATAAGTCAAGTGTTAAATGTACAGCATGGGGAGGAAATTTCCCTTTATGCTGGTACTGGTTCCTGTTAGGATACTGAACAAGGACCACTAATGGGATATTCAGTACGACAGTCTCTGTCTTCTGGTTTTATATTTAGAGCCACAAGAGTATGTTTGTATGCCATCATCTTAGCATATGGCACGTGGAAGCATATGGAAGCTATATTCTTTAACTACATTCATCTTAAATTAAAAGTAAATAGCAGACACTTCTATAAACTTTTACATGGTGAAATCAAATGTTTGTATGCTGTCAAATTGCAGAGGCACTGAGTGCATCCTTAAATGATGTTACATCACCACCAAAGTAGCATGTCAGCATCAAACTGGGGTAACTCAAGGGGTCTCA